TGACCCACGATGCTATATATATATATATATATATATATAAAACCATCATATTGTACGAAGGTGATAACCCCTTAAGAGCACTTGGGACTCTAATGGCGGGTGTTGGACTTTAAGGTTTGCAAGTAAACCATCATTTTTTAAAAAAGCAGCCATGCAACCTTTCAACATTTTAAGCAGCTTAAAAATGCTTTCTAGATTTACTGTACCTATTTCTACTGACATATTTCAATCTCATTTTACATTTGGCACAATAAAAAAAAGTGTTGCTTTTCTGAAAGCTATGTGAGAGAGGACATAACAAGGTTATGACACAGATTAATCTCAGTCATGATGTGCATGCATATTGTGTCTGCCAGCCAGCTGTGACAGCCTGCCATGGATTGAGAATGGTTGCTGACGGTTACATCATCTTATCACCTGGCCAGTTCGTGAAAAACAATGAACAATGGCTCTGCTGCAACCTCAGTCTTCATAAGGACATTTTAGTCTTTGTCTTGCACACGAGCAATTCTGTAGCTTTATAATGTGTAAAAATACTTCAGTGCTGATTCATTGTAATGAGTGTAGTAATCTATTGAATAATTCAAGATATGGTTACAATTTAAAAATCATGTTTAATTTACTCATATGGACGTAGCATTGATCTAGAAATTAGAGGAATAAATTTGAAAAGTTATTTTAAAGTTTTTTTTCTTCCATTGGAAAAAAAAAAGTGGTTAAGGTTTTTATTTTAAAAACAGATTGGTTGTATTTTTCCCCTTATTTTTTAAAGTTATTGTTGCAGCATATGGAGCTGTAAAACTTATTTTACATTAGCTGGTACATTAATTAATCAATTAACATTGCAATACTCAATAATACATTTTAGCAGCATTTTAAAAGGTGGATAGTAAATAAACTTGATTGTATCTAAGTTGCATGTTTAAAAACTGTAATCTGCTATTTTAATATCCAGCGCATGTCATCGCTTGTATTAATTCACAAATGTTAAAGTAAAGACAGTTCTCATATTCCTTTATGTTATGATTTGCTGTCAGTTTTTGAGTTTGTATCTACTTTTAATGACAGTAAAGTCCATATTTTGTGGGACGATGTTAAAAAAAAAAAAAGGAATTTTGGTTTCTGACAGATTCTTTGCAGCAGTCAACATCAAGCGTCTAGACACTTTTAATGGTTAAAACTCAGTGACAATCAAAGCACTGAGATGGGAGTTACAACTACAAAACTCTAAATAAATTCAGAGCAAACCAACGTGCAAAAATATGTGTATTTAGCACATAACTGTAATCATTAGTTTGAATTTTTGCATCTAGCCAACAAGATTAACAACTAATAAGGTTGCTGCTAAACAAGTTCAACTAAATCTGTGGTTAGAGTTGTGATTCAGATTTTAGATCATGATTTGTAACATCATGCAGCACGGTGGCGCAACTGGTAGAGCTGCCTCTCAGCGAGCAGGTCCTCGGTTCAAACCCCGGTCCAGGGGCCTTTCTGGGTGGAGTTTGCATGTTCTCTCCGTGCATGCGTGGGTTTTCTCCGGGTACTCCGGTTTCCTCCCACTGATCAAAAACATGCATGTTAGGCTGATTGGTAACTCTAAATTGTCCCTAGGTGCGAGTGAGAGAGTGAATGATTGTTTGTCTCGTTTGTCTCTATGTGGTCCTGTGATGGACTTGCGACCTGTCCAGGGTGTACCCCGCCCCTCGCACAGTGATTGCTGGACATGGGCACCGGCGACCCCCGTGACCCAAAATGGAATAAGTGGGTAAAAGATAATGGATGGATAGATTTGCAACTTCATATATCTGCACACTCCAAAGTCAGCATGGTCTTTTGTGCAAAACACATGTAGTTTGAAACTTTTAAGGCAAACTTTAGCCCAATTATAATTTTTAAATGAGGGAAAACAAAAATGCAAATACAAAAAAAAAAAAAATTATGGTCTCAAAAAGATGGATGAAACATCAATCTGCTATTTCAAAGAAAAAAATGTTTAATAGATATCTACTGAAGATCAAGTAGCTCTTGAAAAGACAGTTATTAAGATTTTTCAATATACATAATAATTAACCTGCATAACAAAAAGTAAATTATTGTCATCCTGTATTCTCTGATTGTTACCCTCATTTTTTACAGCTTCTTATGTTTCTCTCTGTTAAATCGTACTAAAATTATATACATCTAAACACTTTTTTTTTGTTAATACACAGAGTTTTCTGCATTTTAAAATCCGTCCCAACAACTATTTTGAAGATTGTAAGTGTATTACTCACAGTCACACTTCATGCCCTGGTGGATGAGGCCATAGAGCAGAGAGCCGCAGTGATCGCAAAACGTCGGGCTCCCGTAGGTGTGGATCTTGAACTTATGCTTTGTTCTGGGATCCTACAGGAACCATAAAAACAGAAAAGAAGTAAATAAAATAAAGGTTAAAGTCAGCAAAAAATAGGTGAACTATTATTTTTGTTTCTTCTAAACACTGTATTCAAAAGGTCCCTGATTATTGAAGGGAACTGATTTAGTTATATTTATAACTACAAAAACACCACTTAGAGAAACAGATTATTTTTACAGATTTGAAGCAATTTCAACTAGTTACTCTTTTTTTTGGTTTTTTTTGCTTTTATCTACATTTTCTTAAGAATAAATACTATACTTATAATTGATTAAAGGCTTTGGAAATAGTTACAGTTTTAGGGTATTCATCTTGAACAGCATATTGCATTTAAAATAAATTCAGTTTATTTATATAGCACCAAGTCACAACAGAAGTTGATCAGGGCACTTAACAGAGACATTCATATACATAAAAAGTAAGTTAATAACATTAATTATCTGAAGAGTAGATAGCTTTGAGTTTAATTTCATCTCCGACTCTCAGCTTGAGCAAGCATGAAGGCGCCAGTGGAAAGGAAAAATTCCCTCATGGGGAAGAAACCTTTAGCAGAACAAGGCTTAGGGCAAGAGGTCGGTCATCTGCTTCGACCGCCTGGGTTTGAGAGGAACAAGAAGGAGGAACAGATACACAATGGCAGGTCGAGAATCACATGTTAAGATACAAATAATATCAAATGAAACTATTCATTTGTAACAATCCATTTTAATAAATGAGGTCAATTTGTCCTCTAGTAGTCTAAGCTTAAGGCAGCATAATAAGCCAACCCTAATTATAGGATTTATCACAAAATAAAGTCTTAAGCCCAGTCTTAAAACTGGACAAAGTGTCAGCCTTACAGACAGAAACTGGAAGTTGGTTCCAAAAGAGAGGAGCCTGAGAACTGAAAGATCTTCCTCCCATTCTACTCTTGGCAACTCTAGGAACCACAAGTAAGCCTGCAGTCTGAGAGCAAAGTGCTCTGTTGGAAAAATATGGAACAATAAGATGTGTAATATAAGATGGAGCTAGGTTGTTAAGGACTTTGTAGGTTAGAAGTAAGATTTTGAATTCAATTCTGAATTTACATACACTGAAATATACATACTTTTAAAACCTAAGAGTCACAACAAGGATTGTTTTTAATAAAGAAAACAAACATGACGCTCTTGGTTAAGATAAGTGAAAAGGGCTTTTTGAGTTTCATTGCATTATGTCAACAAGTGCAGTAAACGGTAATACATCTTGCACTGGACTCTTCTCTTTATAGCTTTGTGTGTCTGTGTGTGCACTCAGTCATCAAAGCTATAAACACTCCTCATTCATCATTAGCCTTCTGTTAATATTGTTCGTTGCTCTTGGCTCTCTGCATAAATATTTTACCAGTCAATGTGTGAAAAACGTTGGAGTTTAATGGACTGTGAGGATGAGACAGGGAAGTAAATGACTTCCTGTTTGCAGGATGATGGTTTGAATTACATTCCTGTAAAAATATAATGCTTTTTGCTGGAATCTTGACATGTTGAGATACTTTCAAACACAATAAAGCTTTAAAAAAGTTAAATCTGGTCCTCTGGACAGTCAAAAAAATTTTTTTGAATGTCCAGAGGGCCAGATTTAACTTTTTTTAGATTTTTCTACCTGGATTATTGAGCATGCATCAGGATATAATAAAGTTTTGTATTCTGCTCTTGTGTTCTTGATTTTATACTTGTATAAGACAGGATTATCTCAGGTCAAGCTTTAAAGAACAACTGGAGCAATTCTTTACTTGCTGCATATTGTTGCAAGTGGCTGCACTAATCACACAGTTTAAATTATGTATTAAATAAATCAGATTATTGTAATTAAATATATATATTTTTGCATTATGGCATGTCTCCCAATATATGGATGCTAAATAAATAAATTTAACAGCAAATATCATCTCGGGACTGTATAAAAACATTATCATACATATTAGTATATATTGCTACCTTAAATGCCATGAAATTAGAAGACATGAAATATGTTTCAACCACTGAACCCCACTGCACTCGCACAGACACAAACACAGACGCACGTGTTATTCCTGGTGGAACATCTTCAGGTACAAGAGAGTTACTCACATTGGAGTGACATATTAAAATTTTGAAAATTTTAATGTATAAACTAAAGTCACATGATCACATCAAACCAAAACCTTAAGAATAAATGTAAGTGAAGACTAAAAAAGTCCATGCTCAATAAGAAGACATTTTCATTGACCATAGAAAACAAGTGATGAAAAAATACAAGAGACGGTGTCAGAATAACTTTATTAAAAAAAGAGACAGCTTTCACAGTTATTGTGATGGTTTAAAATTAAATCAAAAACTCAAAATTTCATTCACTACACAGAAGCATGGATCAGTTAATATTAAAAATAAAGAAACCAAACCCTCAATGAAACTATCCTTTTTTACATGCTGAATAGTGTGGCATTGCACATCTACAGGATTTCATTTGTATTTGTCCTTTTTAAATGCAATAACGCTTGCTGAGTTTTTGCTTTATTTTCTGCAAAATCAGCCTCCATCCTTTTATTAGACCCGCATCAGGAGTCACTTGGCCAGCATCCACTTTAAATGTGGATCATTTGCATATGCAAAAAAGTGTATATTTAGAATACCGAGTAATGCTTAAATACAGCAAAAAGAGGACGCATACTATAAAGATATTGCAGAACAGCCAATGATTTAAAAAAATTGTCTCAAACTATGGAAATTACAAGAAAGGTATAACACTTCTTTTCCCAGAGGTAACTATATTTATGCTTTATATCAGAATCAGAATCAGAATAAGCTTTATTATCATTGTACCGGGATACAGTGAGATTATATGTTCGTACAGTCATCCAAAAGGTGGGCGGAGTGATAGACAAAGCTTTTTCCTTAGTTTACACATGTCCCAGGAGAAATTTGATAGTCGGCTCGTATCTGAGGCCAAACAGGAGAGTCAGATTCAGATAAGCCACAACTGTTGATTTTCTTCAAGCAGACTGTTATTTTCTTGTCAGTCTTGAATCCTGCTGGAACTTTCCAGATTCAAAATGGCCAGATTTATGGGCATTCCACTCCATTGATACGTGCTATGAGCCTCCTCCAAGGTCGTCCCCAACATGCTGGCGAGTCCTGGAAGCCGCAGGTGGGCTGCGATTCTCACAAATTGCTTCCATCTTACAGTTTAGCTTGTAAACCAGCTGATTTTGAGTACTTGTAGCATGAACCAAACCTTCACACAGACTCAAAAGTTTTGACATGGCTGAAACTGCTGCTGATGTATTCTTCAAAAGTTGATAACACAGGGAACCGCCGATGCCAAAAAGCAGAAACCCTGCTATCATGAATCCAATTATAACTGAACTGAACCAACAGAATTAATACTTAAACTTCTCCACTTCTCTTACACAGCTGATTGCTGTGTAGCTCATTGGGCAATCGAAACAAATTCTAAATCTGACGGAATTAACTTTTTCTGTTTTTGCTGTGAATGCTCTGTAACCTCTGTATGCTGCTGCCAGTCTTGGCCAGGATTCGCTTGCAAAAGACATTTTTAATCTTAATGGGATTTTCCTGGTGAAATAAAGGTAAAGAAAAAATATAAATATAAAAATCTGTAGAAAATAACACAAACATACAATTTCACTTGACACAACATCAGTTCAGAGATCAGTAGAAGACAGTATTATTTAAAACAATTGGTAAAATGCCTGCCTTAAATGAAAATCTGGAAGGTAACATCTGATTGCTTAAACAAGCTGTAAACTCAATGCTTGAAAATTGAATGAAATTAGAAAGGCACATTACAAATGTAAAGTGTACATAAAATCGTATGGTAAATGTTATTTATATTCTTTCAAATGCAAGGTGTATAATACTGTTACGATTATCTGTAATGTCACTGCAACTCTTGCAGTTTATTACACAGGGTACAATCCCTATCAAATGCATAAAGTTTTCATTTTACACTCTGATCTTGTGGTTCATGAAAGAAAAAAAAATGGAATAGTTCAATTACTTGAAGCCCTCGTTTAAAGTGGTTCCATGCTCAAATCCAAATTCTGCTGTACTGTAAATCTTTCTACGTGTTGGCAATAAGAACATTATCCATGCTAGGTTTATTTATTTTTCCACTGCATCTGATAGAAAAGGTTGCAGCAAAATGTAATTACATTTTATTTTTTATGAAAGAGAAGCAAAATAAATAAGTGCTTTAAAAAATTGCACTGTCAAAATATATTATCAGATATGAAGTGAGCAACAAAAGCTTGACCCAAGACTAATATCAGTTATAAATCATCTTCCAAAAGGAGCTATGTGTCATATATGTCTGTGAGAACTGTCATATTGAGTTGGTGAGGCGCCACAGTGATTCATTCATTCAACCGTTATTTATTCAGGTTAGTCTTAGAGTCAAGAGAGACCTGTTTTAGACAAACAAACGAAAACCCATAGATGAGGTACACACAACAATAAACAGTCAAGAAAAAGCATATGAAACAAAAAGTAAATAAAAGTAGTGATATAAAACAAGATAAAACAAGCTACGTTATGAAACGGGGTAAAATAATAAAAATAGGAACATGTCTGCATTGATTTTTGCCATGAACTTAAATGTTTAAAATCCCTTACAGAGGTCAAAGTCGACAACTTCAGATCTGAACTTCAGAATTATCTGACCTACATCACTTGTGTAGATTAATGAAGAGGGAGGGCTCTAAGACTGAGCCTTGTGGTGTACCATTTTTGACTGTTAAATGACTGGAAGAAGTACCATTGTGTTGAATACATTGCCTCCAATCCGAGAGATAATTAGAAAAACAACCGATAGTGTGATCGGAGCAACCAATTTCTGAGAGCTTATGGCATAAGATATCCTTGTCCACAGTGAGAAAAGCTTTAGACAAGTCCAAATAAAGTGCAGCACAATAATCCTTAGCATCCAATGATTCAACATCATTAAAAACCTTCAACGAAGCAGTCAGTGTGCT